GGGCTGGATTCGAACCCGCCACCTTAGGTGTATGTGGCTGGCACCTTAGCCACTTGAGCCACAGGCACCGAGCTGAGCCACCACACCCTTCCTGCAGCAGACTTACAAATACTGGAACCCTTCAATTCAGAGTGTCCTCTGCTTCCAATTTTTCAGCTCTTTTCATCTATTCATTCACTTTTTTCAGTCATTCATTCTAGAAATAATTTTGTGTGCCTACTAAGTTCTAGGAATGGGGATATGTCAGTGAACCCAAATGACAGTTGGCCCTCATGGCTGTTCCAGTCTAGTGAATGCAACTGCCCTCTCTCATGTTGCCTGCTTGTCTTGCATGAAACCCATGCACAGCTTCTCAGACCACTTTCTCCATATTAGTGATGAGTTAGTTCCTGGTTCATCCCTCTCATTTTCCCCTCTGACAGCCACCAGAGCTTCCCCTCACATGCACTTTCTTTTCCTTAAGAAGAACCAGCAGGAGAGTGGGTAGAGCTCCATTTTATTATGGAGAGTTAAAAAACAAACAAAACAAACAGGAAATTGATAAAGAAGGCATAATGGGGGAGGAGAGTTAGGTGCCTTCTTAGTCACCCCATACCACTCCAATTCAATTGTGAACCACTAGGAGGACCAGAATTAAATAACTATCATAGGGTACAGAGTTACGATTCTTAGCCTTCCCTCTTGGGGAAAACTGAGGCAAAGTAATACTGAGCAAAAGTGGAGGAAGCCACCCTCCCAGTTCTGGAGGGGACAGAGGAGAGGATTCCACGCATCATAGCAAGTAAGTGTGGCTTGTAAACCTGGGACTTGGCGGGTGGGGCTGGGAGCTGGTGGATTTGTAAACAAGGCTATGGCCGAGAGAGGAGGCAGGAGCTGTAAACAAAGGGGGCAATAACCTAGAGAACAGGAGGGAGTGCTTGTAAATGGAAGCGGATCTTGGCCTCCCAGGGAGATGAGTGCTTGTAACTGGAGAGTCTCCACAGGACAGTGGGGAGTCAAGGAAGGTTAAAAGGAAAGTGTACCTTGCCAAGGAGATGGGAGGTGTCTATCTCCACTCTCAAAGAGTTCTGTGCTCCGCCCAAGGGTTTGCTGCTCACTCTTGAGCCACTTAGGATGCACCAGCATGTTTAACCCCACCCACACCAGTGACCTCAGTTTAGGATGGAAATTGAGCAAATAGCTTTGCCCCCAGGAACAGGATGGGGAAAGCAAGTTGGAAGATGTTGGTTGCCCTTCCCTGCCAGGCTCAGGATCTATCTTCTCCAAATTTTCTGGGCTCCAAGATCTTCAGTTCTAGGAAGAAGAGAGGTATGTACCCATGTTGGAAGAAGGTCACCGCCGGCAGGACTCATCTGTGGGAGAGGGGCAATAATGATAGAGAATGAATGAGGGCTTCTGCCTCTTGCCCTCTCCTCTGAACCTAAGGGCAGCTGGCATACAGCAAGTCCTATATCTTTCAGGTACTACCAGTGTCAACAACCATCACTCATTTAGCTTGAACTCTGTGCCAGGCATTCTTTTTTTTTTTTTTTTTGAGACAGAGCCTCAAGCAATCCCCCTGGGTGGAATGCCATGGCATCACAGCTCACAGCAACCTCCAACTCCTGGGCTCAAGCGAGTCTCCTGCCT